TTCCCTCTTGGGCTCCTTTGCTCTGGGAATCCCTTTAGGCATTTGGGTTTTTGGTCCTCCAGTGCTTGCCTCGGCGCTTTGGGGGGGCAAGTCTTTGGCTCTTCACAACCACCACTGAGTATTTTTCCTTTGGATAAACTTTACATGCACAAGTGCACTCTCACAAACAACTACAGGTGCTTGGTTGCAGGTACTTAGAGATTCACTTCCATACAGAAAGCCCATATTCTTATCTACAGCTACCACAGTATACATGTCAGATTCAATAATTATACTACCGGTATTCATACTTCAGCGATAGTATCAAGGTGCTACGTTATTGTATCTCTTATACTGTATCAGTTGGTGGTGTTGTTCTTTTTACATCTCTTTGCAGGTGATGAAGCAAATGTTTTATTATTGTCTCCCTTTTATCTCCGCTTTCTTTCATCTTTTATCAATTTTCCTGTTTTTCCTTCCCTGTTCTACTTACATTGCAGTGTCCATATAATCTGTAATACTCCCTGCATGAATTATAATAAAGCTATTTACATGCATAAATCAAGCGGACCACTATGGCGATAGCCGTACTGCTCAACTTATGAAAGTAAAATTTGTTGGGCTCTTTTTGGCATTAAGACAATTATTCTTATTGCCACATTGCCAGACAGGACACTGTTAAAAGAATTCTTGTCTAAAAAGCTTTTTGTTTCTTCTTAAAACCCACTGATAGTGCCCTCTGTTGAACGATGGGTGCGAAATCCAAACTGCATCGGATGTAGAGGATTATGACTCCTATTAAGATGTTTGGTTAATAGTTTCTCGACCCATTTCTCTATAATTTTTAGACACAACAGGTAAGATATTAATTTGTCTATAGTTAAGTTTTTCTGTTTTGTCCCCAGTCTGTTTTTTAAAATTGGACTAACCACACCCACTTTCCATGTGTCTGGCTCCACTGAGTAGTTAATTAACCAATTTACCATGTGTGCAATAGCTGGTATCAGCGTATCTTTATAGGCTTTTATAAAACTGACATCAAGATCAAAATCCTCCTTAGCTTTGGGGCTATTTAGTGAAATAATAATGTTATCCACCTCCCTCTCTGTTATCTCGACTAAATCAAAAAGATAGGTTGTGCATTGATTGGTGGGTTAATTTTATAGTCAGGGGGATCAAAGAACTGAGAAATTTCTTGAAGTGAGTTTATAAAGAAGTTATTGAATTCTGAAGCTATTACATTCGG